AGGAACCAAATCCTGCAGCCCAAGTCTTAGCCATCAACTACAGCTTCTTGTGATTTTTAGAGGCAACTTTTTTATTGCAGTGGTAGTATGAGGTCTTTATGTGTATTTCTCCATACAATAGCTGTCAGAAAAAAACATCTTAAGAATAAAGGCTAAATATCATAGCCCTTAATTTAATCAGGAAATGTAATCAATTACATAACTTTTCAGTTCCAGCTGCCATGAACGTCTTGCAGAATCTATTCTCATGCAATGTTTCTGTTTCTAGTTAATTTGGACATGATGGCAGTGCTGCCTAACAGACATAATGCACAGCCATCAGGAACTGGCCTCTGAAATAGCAAGACTAATTAGCTGGACTAATTAGGGTTAAAGAAGACAATAGCAGGAGTTGATTCCATTTGTATTTCCTTTACACAACTCCTTCCAGGGCACCATCTTCTTGCTGCATTTCCCTTCTTTTCCTCCTGTTTCTAACACCAAAAGGGTCACTGTAATATGTTACTATTAGGAGAAAGCCTGGCTTAGTGGCTAAGGCACTGGATAAGGAATTCTGGGCTCTAGTCCCAGCACAGCCGTGGTCCTGCTGCAAGACCTGGGCACCTCATTTCACTTTCCTGTATCTTCATTTCCCTCCTCTCCCCAAGGCACATACATCTGGTTCCATGATTTTGCTTGAAAACACATCTAGGCATAGGCTGTTCCTAATGAGGTTGTGCACAGGTCAGGTGAGTATGATTGCAGGCTTGGATGTGGGTTTTAGGTATGCTTGCAATAATATAAATGATAATGATGTAAAATCCATCTGTGCAAAGGTAATTTTTTGAAGGAAGTAGTTTCATTCCATGAATGTAGGACCAGGGATCCGTAGGTGGGGAATGTAGGAGATTCTGGCATTCTGAGAAATGAGGAAAGGTGAAGCAATGACTACTGCACAGGCAGGCCTTGAAGAACAATTCTCACTTATGATTGGAAATAGCATCTTTCAATGTCCCTGTTGTTTGGGTTTCTTTTTCTTTTTTTTTTTTCCTTTGCTGCTTCTTTTTAGCGTTTGTTTCAAAAATGAAGATGATGTCTTTTTTTCCCCCCTTTTTACTTTTTTAATTTTCTCTTCCACTGTCTTCATTCCATCTCCAGGTCATACTCATCTTGCCTTACTCTTATATCTTCCTGAACATGTACTTCCATATTTTTGCAGTCTGCTTGCTCTAATTCCTGGACTCAACCATCTCTAAGATACTTTCCCACCTACAAGATCTCCTCACATTGTTGGTGTTATCAATGGGAGTAAAAGCAAAACTCAGAGTCCAACCATTACAATTCTTTCCACAATGCCCAAAAGGATCTGTGTTTGAGGCGTGTTTTAAAGATTATTGTAAATCAGGAAAACAGTGAGGTGAAGTAAAGGGAAATAGGGAAGAACTCTGGGCTTACCAATGCATAATGCACAAACATGAGCTCTCACTCCAGTGTGATCTTGCCAACAGTTAGGAGATCAAGTGCCACGAACAAAAAATCATTATAAAGACTAAACATTCAGTATTTATAGAGAAGTAGCATTAGAAGATAAATAGTTCAAGCAGTGCTCTTGCATTAGATGATCATTGCTTTTTTTTTGTATCTGGTCTTTTATTCCAGCATTACTTATGGCTGTAAATCATTCCTGATCTCCTTTGGAATAAATTTACACGTACTTCATGCAATTGAAAACACAGTACACTTACACATACAAGGCATGAAGCCTTTAGCAACTCCGGGAGTAAAAGTAACAAGCCCATAGAAGATTTAAAATGAAATTATCGTCAAAGTGTTTCTCTGCCATTTGCCACAAATGGCTACAGCTGATTCTGCACTATGCAGAGGAGAATGGGGGAGCAAAGCAGGACCGACAGGTGTCATTGAGAAGCACTTGTGCCAGGTAAGTGAAAAGGTGCTTGGTAAGAGCAGCAAACAGGATGGCAAAGGAACGTGGACACCCAGCCCCTGTCTGTGACATCGCAGCTCAGAAAGGACAAGGCACAAAGAGATGGAAAGGAAGAAAAACTGTTTGTATTTCTTTTTTGCTATGTTGGAATATATCAGCCCCCATGAGGGGGAATGTTATTTGAACCACCTGTGGTGCACATTCTTCAAAGAGCCAGGGACGTGGGGCCTTGGCAGGCAGGCCAGGTGCCAGGCAAGGACAGAGTGACCTTCTCACAAAAAAAGAAAAAAGGAAAAAAAAGACCTTGGTAAATCTTACACTGCTTTTAGATCAAATTTTTATCCTGCTTCACTTTGGAAGCCCCCTGAACAAGCTCAGTGTTTCAAAGCTGAGGCTGCAAATCTCCCAGGGAAGGTTCCTGTGTTTAATAAACTGTTTTGACTGGAATTCAAAGGGAAAATGAAGATTTCTGTTGGCCTAGCAATAGAAAATGTGGCCCAGACCTGTAACCCCATATCTGACCAGACGAAAATGTGTACTCTGTTAAAAACTGGATATTTCTCAGAAACATTGGCATTAGAATAGTTCTGCTCCCCCTAAAGCCAACAAGCGAAAAGCCTCATCATCTTTAATGGAAATACCTGTGACTAATTTTTTATTTGGAAAGAAGGTCCTGGAAGGAGATGCCAGAACACCAGCATTACAAACCTGTAAGTTATACAGTGGTTCAGCTACTGGGTAGAATATCTTCCAGTTTACTCTGTTCAACCTTTCCAACACAAAATTAACCCCTGAAGTGCTTCATACTCTAACACCATACTGAATGCTGACAAGCAGGGAAGTACTGAACCACCAAAATACCAGTAGCATAGACAGTGTTTATAATTTGCTTATTATAAGACATAGCCTTGACTCAATGATTAAGACTTCCTCGAATGATTTGGGTAGAGTTTCAGTGCTGGCTGGGGACCCCTTCAAGGTGCCCTGGTACCTCATCTCCATGGATTTCACATCACCCTCACTGATTGTGCCAAAATCCTGCTAAGAGGGAATACGACCTTTCTACCACCTCTGCACTGAGACATGCAGTACTTCATACCTTTCTCCTGGTGCCCATGCTTTCCATTCAGTGACACATGGGTACAAAAGTAAATACTGCATTAAGACAATGAATGTCTCCACAAGATTTCTCTAAATGAAAAATGAAAACTCAGCTCAGCAGAGGCACATTCAATCTGACAGGTCTCGTTTTCTTTATGTTTCATTTTCCTTCCTCTAACACAAATATGATCTATCTATCATCTGCCCAAATTCAAACCTCATGTAGACTTTCAAAAATTTCTTTCAGCTAAATGTGATACTCGAATGACAGTTTGTCTTTTCCAGTCTATACTTACTAATGTCTCTATTCCTCAAACTTTTCCTCACAATTAAATTGCCATATTTGAAAGTTAAAGTGACAGAAGTGAATGGACCTGACTGAAGAAGGAATTAGCCATCACATTTCTGCTAGCATGAAAAGGAACACACATGACCTTTATGGGCAGGAAGTTGCATTATAAAAGTTTCCAAAATCCACCTGTTTTGATTTGCGTGGCTTTGTGTGCAGCAAGCCAGCCAGAGTGAAATAGAGAGGTTTCATTTCCCCTTTGATTTCAGCACTTCTTTTCTATTAACTGTCCCATTTCCTGACTCATCTACATCAAAGTTACCAAAATGAAAACACTCTTGGAAGCCTACAAATCAATAGACAAAATAACTTAGGATGATCACTTTGCTAAGATCAGAAGAACTAGTTGCAATTTTTAAAGGACTGGATAGTACGTATGTTTATTTTTACTGCAAACGCACCAGTTATCCCAGGATTTTAAAACTCTGTGCAAAAAAACAAAACACAACTTTTCCCAAGTATAGAAAAATAAGCCTAAAACAATCTGAATTTGAGTCTAGAGTCCAGCATCTCCCGTTGTGCACCATGGTCTCCTCACAAGGGAAGCAAATGAGGAACACCATCTGAAAACAAGTCCTGACAGAAATTCCAGGGGAGTCTTCCCAAAAGACAAGTCAGTTTTATCTGTTGTTACAAATTAGCTACAAGAAGTTAACTACTTACACAAATAAAAAAATACACCTTATCATTAGGACTACTGAGACACAGAAAGAAGTAGTGAACTACATCTCCAGCATTAACCCTGAGCAGTCACCAGAGATTGGTTCAATCCTTATCTCTTGCAGCCAAGTTTGTCATCAAATATTTTGGCTAGTGGAATTTCCTTTGATTTAGTCCAGAAATTTTTCTGGCCATTCCTTCATAACATATCATAAGAAGCAAAAGAAATCAAAGGGATATATTTTAAATCTTCCTTAAATTTGAGTAGCACAACTGTAACTTAGATATGTTAGATCTGGGATAAAATGGAGTAAGTAAAATCAGAATCTAGCTAAAAGATGCAAAACAAGAAAAACTGCCAACACAAGAAAATTTTCACAGTTTTTGATTAATTGTTTTAAGACCTTGATATTCCCAATATTAAAGTTCTTCTACAGCGATTCTGTACCAGTCACCAACAGAAAATATGTGCTTCAAAGGGCTCACAGTCTAAGTGAACATTGCAAAGCACGGGAGGAAACAACTCTTATTTATACCATCTACAAATGGAAGACCTAGTCCAGAAATGTGGACAGGGTCACATATGACCAAGAACTAGATCAAAGTTTCATCAGTCCCAGCCTAATGCCTCAAATGCAAACCACGTTCTCTCTCAAAGACAGGCTCATAAGCATAAAAAGTCTGCTTTCAATGCACTGACAAATCACCTGCCATTAGATGTTTTTTACATCACATAATGTTTAATTATCTCATAAAAGTGGGTTACCCGATCAAATAATCCGACTAAAACATTGCTTTGTATAATGACTATACGAAAGGTACAGCCTGCATCCTCTAAAATATACAGCAGTATATCAGACTCAAGCGCTACAAGAATAACTAAGAAACAATTACAGGACAATTTCTGCATTGTCAGACAAGCTATAACGTAAATAAATATACAAAATAAAGATTACTACTACTCACCAGCACACTGATTGTTTTCATCCAACTGGTAACCAAATCGACAAATCAGAGGTCTTGTAACAGTAGGGTAATTAGGAACAGGGCCTGGCGCTGGGGGTGGTGGATAAATATTTGAATAAGGATTCAGATATGGTGATCGATACACTGGGTTTGTCCGTGGTACACATAAATAGCCACCATTCTGGTTGACACACACCATGTCTCCTCTACAGGCCTCAGGAATAGTCCGACATTCATCAATATCTGGAAGGAAAATTGTAAATGTTAAATGAGTAAGATTGCTTCTTACTGTGACCTATCAAAAAAATCGTTACCACATTTTTCTCAAGACTTTGCTAAAAATTTGATTCTCTGAACAGAAGAGCTAATCTGTCCTTGTGGAGTCTTGCTTTGAAGTTACATCATACTAAAACTGGAAGCATCCCATATAATCAACATATCCTGTGTTTCAATTGTTTTAATTCAGTATTAAAGGGAAGAGGAGAAGAGGAAAGCCTGCTTTGTTATCTTATAAATGTTTGGCTTAAACACTGATTTACACATAGCTGCAGCATGCTACTGCCTGTTCCTGCCTGTGGGTCTCTCCAAACCACAACATGCAGATCAGAATTTCGAACACTGGTGGTTTGATTTGCCCAGCTGTGAAACTTGGATCCTGATTTGGAACTCCTGGGCTCCCTCCCATAGAAAAAGTCAGGGATGTTCAATCTGGAGATGTGAGTTAGGCCTCTTCCTTCTTCCGATTAAGATTATTGTTGAATCAAATTTAGAAATTTACAATTGGTTTACCCAAACCAAACCTTTTTTTGGTTCTTGGAGTACAGATGCGTTAGACTGCTGTGACAGAGCAACTGCCTGTTGCTGTTATTCCTTTTAATTGTTTTCATGAAGAAAATGCTGCCCTGTAGACTGGAATTCACATTGATTGATGAAAATACGCCATAGGGCTAAGTGGGTGTTTCCCTACAACTGCCTCAATGACTGACCTAAAGTTTCTACATGGAGCAGTGGTAGACTTCATTTGTGGCCTCCAGATGGAGGCTGCCAACGAAATTAGTCAGTACAGAGTTTAGAGAAGAAAGAAAAGGAATGTGTACAGCCCTTGCCATTTGAGGACTGGACTGAGCTCCCCAACTTATCTCAGTGCAATACATGTATTTGAGAAGCCCTGAGCCAATTAGTATCTAAGTATATGTCTAAGTTAGACATATACTTGGGCTATGTGAACAAACACACACACACACTTATCACACAGAGAGAACTTTTCAGCTAAAACACATCAAAAGCAGAACAATTTTAATTTGATAAAGTTAGCATTTCTGAACCCCAATTTAAATTCATTTATTTAATTTAAATCCTACCTAAGCATTGCCCAGAGGCACGGTCCAAGTCAAACCCATTGGTGCATTGTTGCTAAAATGAGAAAAAAAAAGAAGACACTCAGTGACTGTGCAATGAGAGGTTTCAGAGTCAAATGCTCATCTGGATTATTACGCTTAGTACTCTTGTTCAGCACTACATCACAAAGTTCTGTACCCCAAAATAAAGAAAGGACAGACAGCAAGGCGTAAACCTGAGACCCCCAACATCTGTGACAGCCCCTTAACTCAGAAGGCAATCCCCACAGGTGGTAACTGTTCAGGTTGTTACTCTGCTGGGATAACCAACACCTGATGTGCTACTCACTCCATACTGTTCTTCACTTTTGGAGTCTTGTTTTTGCTAGGACAAAGGAGCTCAGTTTAATGGTACTAGGAACCTTCCCTAACGCACTCTAGAACACCACATGTAGACAATTCAGTATAACTTCTCAACAAGTTAGCCTCCTGATCTGAACGGAAGCCATAGATAAAACATAACAAACTTAAAAAAAAGTAAGGCTTTTAGTTTACACCAAACCTCTAAATTTTCAGAGAATTCTTTACACATGTTCTGTGCATGCAAGGTTACTGGAAAACTTTTCCTTCCTATCCTATGCTACTGGTTGTCATCAGGGCTGGAACTTGTAGCACCTAATCATTGTCCCTCAGCATTTCTAAAAGAGTGACAGTAATGGCTTTTGTCAAAACCCATTAAAAAGATTCCCTACTCTCCTTCATTTTTGACTGGGCCACCAGCAATTTAGCAGTGGGCTGCACAGTTAACACAAGTGGATCCTTCCAGTAAAATAGGCTATGGTAAGGAAGGTGAGCAGGAGGCATCCAGAGAACAGGAAGCACTGATGTAACCAGCAGGCACAGGGATGGATTCTATTCAAGATTCTTTTTTTTTTTTTTTTTTTTTTCCCACAGCAATATCAGTACAGATGCCATGTGCAGGAAATTTTTCGTGTAACAGAAGAAAACTCACAAATACATTTCAAAGACTTTTGGCAAGAGTATTTAGAAACGCAGCTCTGGACATTGAATATATCTGGATTATCAACTAGGAATCCAAACTTAACATACCTTTGGGAACTGTTTTTCCTAATTTAAAACCCACTCGGAGCCCAAGAACACAAAGAACTACAAAGAACTAATGTTTCTGCTATTTCAAGAACTGGACTGCTCTACTTTCACTCACCCTCAAAAACCCTGCCTCTTGAACAAAGATGGCTTTGGGCAGAAATTAAAGTGAAGACCTAGGATGCAGTCATTCAGGCTTATAGTCCAAAAATAAAGTCTTAAGAGTCTGCCAGACTGCTATGCACAGAACATGCCTGTTTACACGAATAAGTTTTCCAAACATGGGTGTTCCCCACCACAGAACTGAGCTATCCTTGCTCTCTTGGGATGGCTTTAATTTTGTTTTTCAAAAGTGTTCAGTTCAGAAGCAGAATTTTAGTGAGGTCCAGGTTTCTGCAGAGATATTTTGCTGAGCTGGCAAGGATGAGTCAATAAGCTCAGTCCATGTTCAGCTCCAGAATCCCGTTGGCTCCCAGTCCTCCCCTCTAAACCCTTAGACCACACAGCTTCCTTTTCACTTAAACCCAAGACCACAGAGCTTCCTATTCACCTGCTAGCCAGTTAAATCTCATGCCATATAGTGCTTCAGTATATAACAATACATGGATCCCTCTGTACACCTCTCACCTGTGCTTTTCCAGGACTCGAAATGCAGATGATCAGTGTGAAAGCAGTCAGTATCCTGTAATGTGCACAGAAAATAGGCTGAAAACCTTCTGATAACCAGGCTCATTATACAGAATTAATTACACACAGACAAACTAATCTCTAGTGACACTTCAGTGCATTCCGGAGTTTTTTGCTAATATGAATTTGGCCCCTAGAGAGGAAGTAATATGACTGTGAGCCACATTCAGATCTCAGTCAGTAATTTTACTACAGTTTTATAGAATTGTGATTAAAATCAGACTGCACATATCAACTAACTAATCTGTTTTTTATGACATTTCCACGGAGAAGCTGTTTGATGAGGAAGTGCATAATATTCGATAGAGCATTGTTGCCCCCTCTGTGGCACCTTTCTTTTGACAATATCAAAGTTTTTCATGCACATTATTTGCATTTTACAGATGGGTAAACCAGAGCACAGGCCATGCCTAAGCTCATCATGCAACTCGCTGGCAGGGCTGCAGAGATGACATGCAGGAGGTCCTGAATCCAAGCCAGTTGCACTAACCGCTAAACCACACTTCATCCCCAGGAGACTGTATTTGAGATTAATCTATTTTCATGGGGTCAGATTCTGTCCTTTTCCCCAGTCTTCAGTGATACGTTGCTCTGCAAGTACATACACTGTGCCAGGACATCAGATACTGGAAGCTGCTATCCTTAGTGAAGATCTCCAGTTAAATCACCTTGGCACCTACTCGGGCTTGCTAGGTCTCTTTGCTGCAACTGACAGAAGAGGGTCCCTCACTAACATCTCTCTGGCTATACACAGGACTCTTCACCTGGAGCATGGAAGTTCTCCAGTCAGCTAACCTGCACCTCCATGTATTTATTCACTGACAGAAAACCAGGAAAGGACAGCAATAATTGATTTTTCTCTGTGTATTGTGGGTTTCAGTCTTCCTTATATAAAGTTTCTTATCAATACAGTTAAGCCTAAATCTTGCTTAGCTTGGATTCTAGTTCTGAATGGCAATTGTATCTGTTTCCCACAAACCAGCACAGAAATCACAAGATATTTTAGGTAGCCTTAGTTCTGCTACTTCAGTGAGCTGCCAACTTTCTCTTTTAGAGCTGTCTCCAATTTCCAGTGCAAAATGAGCTGCCGAACAAGAGCTACAAATGCATCAGACAAAACCATGCACAGAGACTGACACATTTGAACACATTTGCTTTGAGTGTGAAGACAAACACAAGCTCTGAAAAGTAAACACAAACTCTAAAATGGTCGTTCGTAGTGCCGTGGAGATAACGCTGTGCCTGTTGGCAGCTTCTGAGTGACGAGGAAAAACAAATTCTACACTGATTTTTCCTTGACGCAAAGCATTCAAAGTACAACATTATCCATCTACACTTGCACTTCATTTTTGATTCCTTAAACCTTTTTGAGGTCATTTTAAAGTAGCACAGAATACAAAGACTGCGTCCTCACTTTGCATGTGGCAAGAACAGCACTAGAAGGAACTACAGCAGGTTGTAGCTGAACACTAACACACCTAGCTGCCTCGCATACCTGGGGCTGCCCTTCGCATTAATGCAGACAGTGCAAATTAACAAAACCCACTGTTAAATCAATCAGACAAAATTCATATTTTTCTAGACAGTCTTTCCATTGTTACAGGAAAATATATACTTCTCTCCTGGGGTGGAGAGTGACCTTATTGCCTCATATGTGTTCTGTCTGCAGCCACCATCACAATTTGCCCGTCACTGAGCTCTCAGGTCCCCTCAAGAGTTATTTACAGACATGCAGCACACCCTGTCAGTGCTACGTTCAACTGGTCGCAGTAGCTTGTCTGGCAGGCAGAGTATTTTAAAGTAAAATTAATTTCTGCATTAGTAACTAATTAGCTTCAAATTAATCACTGCAGCCTGGGGACCCATTTGCTGTTGCAATTCAGCACTCCTACAGATGCTGGGATTCTTAAAGTGCAGAATATAAGCACAGATCAAGAAGAAAATAGTCAGAGAGAGTGCAGCTTTAATGACAGACAGATCGTCTTTCCCCACCTCTGACCATTGAGATCCCGTCTCCGTGCAAATGGCTTTAGCAAGTGGATTGGCGTACCGAATCCTCGCCACAGATATTTTCCACACGTAGGTTTCCCTTCAGTAAGTACAGAAGTTTCATGCATAGCACTTACCTTTTTAATCCTTGCATGTCCAAAACCGTTGGGGAAAGGTGGAAAAAAACAGAGCTTGTGCTGATGAATAACTAGAAAGTGTTTCCAAACATTACCCTCTGCTAGTACTTCAGTTCCTCAGTCATTTATAGTCCAAAGAATGAAAGAGCAAGTCACGGAGAAGATCGGGAGCAGTCTGTACCTCCTCAGACACTGGAGAGAATACAGAAAAAGCACCTGGTTTTGCTTAGTTCTCTTCTGTAATTCAGCATTAAACCAATTGGAGGAGGAATGTTAAAAATGAACACTTCATTTTCTAAGTATGTTAAACAATGCAAATGGGGGCCTCAGCCTGGGACAGCTGGTTTAGATTACAAAGCTCACCAACTGGCTAGACTCCTCACAACAATCTCGAGGAGCCTGCCAGGATAAAACGCTAACAGCTTGAAGGAAAGCCTCTCCCGCTGCAAACTTCTCAGTTAAATGTGCCTCAGAGCAGAGAGCACCGTTATTGGACAGAAACTCTTATCAGGGGACTGGAGAAGGGAAGGGATTGTTTTCCTTGTTCTGAGAACAAAAAAGTCAGACTTTTTGAGGCCCTCTAGCCGGTGTCTCGGACGATGAATATGCAACAGCCGCTGCTTCGTGCCAACGGCATAGCGATGAAAGTTCTGACCCTCTGGGAGGTGAATAACTTGAATTCATGACAATCACAGCTACAGGAACTATATTGCTCGGGGATTATTTGAAAACAGGAATAAACAAATTAAACGTTCAAAGGAAAGCAAATGGTTTGTCTACAAACACTGGTCCTTTTTAGGCTGACCCCGTGCTTAAGGGAGCAGTTTTGAAATGAAATTTCTCAGGAAAGACATATCTTGCAGATCTTTAGTTATGACTGAAGAGGAAGGAAATACAGTCCCTTTTCAGGTGTTTTGCAACTGTGCCCCAGGCACAACTTCGGTAGGTCAAGCAGAACACTTATGAGATGTGAGAGGTAAGCAAGCAGATGCTGCAAAGATTATCCTAGACCTGAAGACAAACACAGAAATTAAATGCAGACATAAACATAAAATGAATACTTTGAACTTCTGTAGAGCTTCCATCTGGGAAAACCTTTCATTCCCAAGGAACTAAAAAGTCTGACAAGATCAAATCTCTGTCACATCTCTCCATTATTATGGAGAAACAGTTAGAACAGATTTTTTTTAAAACTGGCCTCAAAGTGTGGATACACAGCTTAAGAAACAAAGATTAAGCTGCTTCAAGGCTGCTGAGCACTCAGAAGTCACATTGGTGCTAATGGGACAAGAGCTCACCAGCTGGTTGTGATTGTCCAAATGATTAACAAAAAAACAAATAAATAAATAAATTACAGCACCAGAAGCTCACAGTGCTGCTTTTGACAGCTTGCCTCTCAGTGACTTGCTTACATCACTCGCATTGCATGGGAAGGTAAACTCTCCCTGAGGGTGTCAATGTATTTGCAGACCAAAAAGAACCAATTAATTTATTTTAAATAAATTTCTCCAGGGCCTAAGAAAAACACATACAAGAATTCTGGCAAAGCTGGTCATGTTTTTTCGTGGATCAGAAAACCAGCAAAAACTGGGTGAGTTTTCATTTAGGCAAAAGTTAACGACCAGAAGTGTCGTCATTCCATCGTAGACCAGAGTTGCTCAACGATCTGGAGAGCTAGCAAGCCTACAAGTCACCATGCTTGTTGTATTCTAAGTGCATGAAGATCCACTGAAGCTATTAGAAACATCTCTGCAGCAAAGCAGATGCTCTGATGATCCATACTTGTGGATGGACTTGTTTCATATACTTTTTAATACTTCATTTGTTGATCCAGGAAGTTTTCTCGCTTTCCATGGCAAAATCATTAATGCACGCCAGAATCTCGGCATGGGTGCAGCACAAGTCTGTTCCTGGCTCAGACTGAAGAGCTCTGATTCATCAGCCATCTGGAAGAGGTGCTCCAGCACTGGAAACAGGAGGTGAATCCAGACTCAATCAGCTAAGCAGCTCCCTTAAGAAGGGATACGGTACAAATGTTTTGATTTTTCTTGTCTCCACCAGGCAGCTGGAGTGGATAAAATCCAGAGTCTAAAAAGAGTACCAAACCACATCTTGGGTTAGTTCATAACGTGGTGATTTTTTTTTCCTAAATAAAAGGATTTGTTATGGCTAAGTGAATTTTTTGCAGTACCTTTTGGTAACTGCTACCTGCCACAAAATAATGAGTTGTAGCCACACCAGACTCACATCTTTCTTTGATAAGAAGAATTGCATAAAGAAAAGCATTTTTGGTACACAAAAAGTCTTTTGTGCACCCTGTAAAAGCATGTACTATTCAATGTATCTTTCAACACCACCTACTGACATCCTCACCATTTATGTGCAGGATGAGGTGGTGAGACTTCAGGTGGAGCAGCTCACTTGCTTCAACGGTCAACTGTTTCCTCATGTTCTAAAATCCACTAGTTTAGATTAGGTAATCTAAAAAAAAAAAGACGACTGTCTTCTCAAGGAGGTGTAAAACAGTTCACAGTACAGAATGGAGTTCTGTTAAGTAACTGAATATGGTCTTGAAAACTTGCTTTGCACATAGCTAGAGTTGAAATCATAGCTCTAATTATGTTTAAGACATACATTTTGAAAATTGTGTAATATATGAACATAAAGGGCATGTAAGTTATGTGGTATTCCCTTAACTCTACCCTCCTTTGATGAGAAAGTAAAATGTATGAATTGTGCCATGCTCTTGTAGGTAATGCAGAACACTGCAGTAACAGTGATCCTCAACACCAGAGAATGGTGACAAAACAACTTCTGAATGCAAAGACAAAAGCTGTATTTAGGTCACAGTACCCAGCGAGAGTTAATTACGCTCAGCATTCCTGAACAAAGAAATCTGCTTCACAAATACAGGTCATATTCTACCTTTACTACATTTCATCTCCTTTTCAAGTTCTGCTATTACATTTACTTCTCTAGAACTGTATCAGCCAAAAATGTTTCTTAGCTCTTGTAAATTTTTTTAAAGTTCACCCTCTCTGAACATTCCCAAGGACACTGTCAAACTGTGAGAGCAGTCAAATTATACAGATATGTGTGGTGATAGGTGTGCAAGCCCAAACATACTGAAAATAACAAGTCATAGACATCTTTTACCGTCCTGCAAACCTGAATTCAGGACTTTGCCAATAACTGACACTTTAAGGGCCTATGTCCAAACGTTAGATGGTTAGAACATTCATTTGTTTCTTTACAAAATCTTCTGGGACCAAATTTCCTACCAGAAGAACTGGTAAAACACTTAAAGCATGACTGCTGGGCATTTGCAGAAACAATTGCATTTAGACATCAAGCATCAATGAGATTCACAGACTGGGATCCGTCTGACTGTGGAGGTTGATTAAAGCATTCCCAGAGATAGCTAAATAAGAAAGTTTCTGATATTGTCACGTATCGATATAACACGTGACAGGCAGCAATCTGAAATACACGCATCTCCCCCTAATGCCACCTGAATATTACTGAGCACGTGGGAAATTTGGTCTCAAGCCCTAATTCTGCATGAAATGTATCAGGCTTGTTTCTCCCACCTCTCGGTACAGAATTCCAATTGAACACTCTTGGTGTTTGGGGAATCTTCCCTCTCCTTTTCAAAGATGGATTATGTCATGCTATCTGCTGAGGTCAGCTTCACCCAGTGTCTGAAATAAATGCTGTCTCATAGCACGAATAACATAATAACCTGTTCCAGATGGCTCAGACTAAAAGCTCAGAAACATATTTCCCTGCATATTTTCCTTCCCTAGCCAAATACAACACAAGCTATAATTAACAGTGAAAATTAACTTAATACGTAACTTTAAAAACATGACTGGTGCTAACTAGAACATATAGAGTCTCTGAGATGTCCCATCATGTTGTACTGATCTGCAGGTTACACTGCTGTCATTAGGAAGGAGATGACGTAACAGCTCCTGATGCACTCCCATCTCTGTGGGTACAGTTGTCTCTATACAGTGAAGTTACCACCTATGTCAGATACCCATAGAAAAAAGAGCCAGTGCAGCATCCCTTCCTTCCCTCCTCTGTGGGGACATCATTTGTCTGAAGCAGGCATTCTCTGGGGCTGACAGCACTGTACGATGCAGTACTGCTGCTGCTATCACTGCTCCCCAGAAACATAAAGTGTGATGCCATTTTAATATTTGCTGCAAATATTCTCTGAGAACTCCATCAGACCTCATAATCTAAAGTTTCTGTTTTGCCTCATCTAACTTCTTGTGTATCTGCTGATCTTTGGTTGCTCTGATGCTTGTTTCTAACAGCACATTTACTTTAAATAAAAAAGCAGTCAATGGAAAACTCAGGCACCACTGGCTCCGTTCTGCAGTGTAGCAACACAAAATGTGGGCTCTGACTGAATTACTTTATAAACATATTAATCATTCCATGAAATAAGGAATAGTAGGACTTAGCAGGTATGTAACAAAACCCAAACAGCTTCAAACAGCTTAATAACTACATCAGCCGTAAGACAAAACTACCTCAGGTATATTACCTTTAGCGAGACCAAGTTAGATGTTCACTTGCTTAGCTTTATCTTTTCTTTCTCCTTGGAAGAATGCTTACCTTTTGTTTCTTTTTTTTTCCCCAGCTAAAAGTAAAGCAAACAAGCAAACAAAAAGCTTTTGATAACTTCTCCAGGAAAAATACAGGCTCTTTCACAGCAATTTTGGTGCATGTGACAACCCCCAGCAGGTTCCTCAGAGTTACTGTTAATTTCTATCAGCTTACAACATTCATTCTTTTATTCTTCATCTTTTGATCTTTATATGACCAACATTTATGCCTTTAAAACTATATTACTGTTAAAAGCACATAGAGCATCATCTTGTACACAAGGACAGAATATCTCCTTCAGAACTGACAGCTTCACCATAAGATGTTGGCATCTGAGGTTACAACGCTCAGGCCTATGTTTTGCCATTGAGATACGCCCACTATTTTTCTTTAGAATCTCATATTTGAGTATAGCTCTAGAAACTGCAGTTCACATTTACCTGAAACTAGACAGACATTCCAGTTTGTTATTTATTTTATAAGATTGGCATGTAGATTATCTAGGCTGTAATCTTCACTGCATTTCTGTCAAATGCTCTGGACAGTGTGGCTGAAAACAGTGCTCTTTAATCTTGTGATGTTTACCAGCCCCCTTTAGAAGCAAGCATGAATTCTTTATGACCAATTTTGGCTGACAGTGACCTCCAATAAATAAAAACATGAAACTGCTAATACCTCTGAATCGGGACTAAAGTCTGTTTTGCAATATGAACGAGCCAACTTCCAATCTTTGCAAGTGCCTGTGATACATTGGCCATTAATCTCCAATTATGATCAGACAGTTAGAAATATGAGCTATGTCTTCCTTAGAAATATTCAGGACCTACTTGTTTTATGTTTAAATGCCTTAAGACTGCACTGTTTTTTGCAGTTTCTCAAGTTCTTTACTAACTTATGCCCAGTATATTTGCTATAGTGCACATCTGTTCCCAACAGCATCAGGCTTCACATCAGAACAGCCAACTTGTGACAGTTGCTCACCATTGCACAATCCTGGAAGCATTCCCTGCCT